CATTAGTATTCAAAAAATGATATACATAGCTATCGTAATTGTTAAAATGCATACTCCCATGCCTTGAACACCAAACATTCCAATGCAGTAAGTTTGGGATTTGATCTGAAATATACGTGTCTAACACAAAAATCCCCTAGTGATTCTGATGGTGGTGGTCTTAGCCTCACATTTTCAAAGGCACCGATGTATAAATACCTAACATAGTGCCTAGTATACAACAGGCACTCCATGAGCAGTACTTGCATTAAATGATTTCTTCAGGGAAAGCACTTTTATCTCTGTTTTAATAATTCATGGTTTGGTTGGGGTTCAACCCCCAATAAAAGGTGTAATAAATATCCACTTCATAGCAAACTGGCCTGAAGATTTTAAATCATTCATTATTTCACACAAAACTGTATCTAATGTTGGCTTAAAAGTTATTGGTCTAAGAAATTTATTAAAAAGGCAGCAGTTAAATATATCAAATCTTTCCTTTATATTTTATTCTTTGCTTTTATATTTATATATCCTTTTCTTTTTCCAGTATCAGAAAAATACAGCCTTATATGTTCTCTTAGTTTTGCTTTTTTTTTAACTTGGGTTTTTAAATTATATTTAATTTATTAATGTTATACTACTGGAATTTATTTTATGTAGTGTTAACATAGTACTCTAATATTGACATTTGTGAAATAGTCACCTGTCTCAGTCTCATTTTTTTGAATATTTCATATTTTCCACACTGATTTAAATTGTGGTCTTTGTAATATAGTCTATATATGATATTTATATACTTTTATAAATGGTAGGCTTTTTTTCTGTATCACTGATTTTCTATTCTCAAATATGTTCTGTGCTATTTTATTTGTAAGTTTTGTTAACATGTCTTATTTTGTGAGAAATCCCTCATATTCCAAGTCTCCAATTATTATTTTTCCTTTTCAGAATGTCTTTGCTATTCTTATCTGTTTTCTTCTAATTAAATTTGCAAAGATTATAATAAGTTCTAAAATATACTTTAGGCATTTTATTTATAATTGCATTAAGTATCAGAAATCAGGAAAATTGAAAATTTTTTTATAATTGTGCATCTACCCTTTTAGAAATATGTGATGTCTAACCAGAAATGAGTTCAAGTCTTCTTCAGTCAGGCATGAAAGTGTTCTTCACATAGTCCTTACTCATTTATTGCTAAATTAATTCCTAGGTATTCATATTTAGTATAAATGGATATTTTTACTTAAACTATTTATCATCTTTTATTGATGTATTAATAGAAAATTAAATTATTTGTATACATCCATTTATACCCAATCTATTTGTTGAAACATTAATTTTTCTAATACGTTTCTTAGTTGATTCTTTCAGGCTTCTGAATTGACCTAATAGAAAACTATTTGTTTAATGTAATAACAACAGCATATTGAATGATTACAGCTACTGGAAAAAATGAATAACAGCAATGTAATCAGATGTGGGAAAGGAACTGGGAATGTTCTGTTATAAGGTACTTGTACTACCTATGAAGCAGTATAGGGTTATTTAACAGTAGAATTAGATCATGTCTATCGCCATACCACCCTGAACATGCCTGATCTTAGATTAATTGTAGACTTAGATTAATTGTAAATATATATTGCAAACTCTAGGGCAAACATGAAAAAACAGAGTTTTAAAGAAATATAATTGACAAGCTGAAGGTAGAGAGCAAAATAGAAGCATATGAAATGCTTAAGACCCAAGAATGAAGAAAAATAGAGGAAAAATAAAAATATAAAAAAACAAGTGAAACAAATAGGAAACAGGTACAAACATGGTAGATATTAATCCAACTATTAATATATCAATCACTTTAAATGTGAGTGGTCTAAATACATCAATTAAAAGGTAGAGACCCAACTTCGTGTTGTCTAACAAGAAACTTCAAACATAAAGACACAGATAGATTAAAAGTAAAGGCATGAAAAAGATACACCATATTAACACTATCAAAAGAAAGCTAGAGTAGTTACATTAATTTAATTTCACTCGAAGCACAGGTCAGAACACAGAAAATTATCAGAGATGAAGAGGGGCACTACATACTGATAAAGGGCCAGTTTTCCAAGAAGACAAAGTAATCCTTAATGTGTATTCACTTAACAAAAGAGCATCAAAATATGTGAGGCAAAAAACTGAATAGCTGCAAGAAGAAATAAACAAATCCATTATTATAGTTATAAATTTAGTCAGGTGCGGTGGCTCACATCTGTAATCCTAGTACTCTGGAGGCCAAGGTAGAAGGATTGCTTGAGCTCAGGAGTTTGAGATGAGCCTGAGCAAGAGCGAGACCGTTTCTACTTAAAACAGAAAAATTAGTGGGGCATCGTGGCACACACCTGTAGTCCCAGCTACTCAGGAGTCTAAAGCAAGAGGGTCACTTGAGCCCAGGAGTTTGAAGTTGCAGTGAGCTACGACGATGCCCCTGCACTTTACCCAGGGCAATAGAGCAAGACTCTGCCCCCCCAAAAAAGAAAGAAAAAAGAAAAAAAATAAATTTAAATATCCCCTATTATTAAATGACATATCCAACAGGCAGAAAATTAGTATATGGTTGAGCTGAACAGTACCATCAATCAACTGGATCTAACTGACATTTATACATCTTTATCTAAAACATCAGAAAACACATTTCTTCTCAAGCTAACAGGGAACATTCACCAAAATACATCACATTCTGGGCCATAAAACACACATGAGCAAATTTAAAATAATAGAAATCTATACAATGTGTGTTCTCAGACAACAGTGGATCTAGAAATCAATAAGAAAAAGGATAGCTGGAAAATTCCAAAATACTTAGACAATAAACACCACACTTCTAAATAACACAGGGGTCAAAGATGACATCTCGAGAGAAATTAATATTTTTGGGCCGGTCGGGGTAGCTCACGCCTGTAATCCTAGCACTCTGGGAGGCCGGGGTGGGAGGATTGCTTGAACTCAGGAGTTCAAGATCAGCCTGAGCAAGAACAAGACCCCATCTCTACTATAAATAGAAAGAAATTAGCCAAACAATTAAAAATAGAAAAAATTAGCTGGGCATGGTGGCATGCACCTGTAGTCTCAGCTACTCGGGAAGCTGAGGCAGGAAGGAGGATTGCTTGAGCCCAGGAGTTTGAGGTTGTTGTGAGCTAGGCTGATGCCATGGCACTCTAGCCCAGATAAGATAGACTCTGTCTCAAAAAAATGTATATATTTTTCAACTAAATGTAAATTTAACTTACCAATATCTGTGAATGTGGGGAAAGCAGTGCTTACAGGACTATTTATAGCATTGAAAACATATAAGAAAAGAAGAAAGTTCTAAAATCAATACTTTCAACTTCAATCTTAGGAAACTCAACATCTTAAATATGCTATCAAATATAATTTTGTCTCTACCTGATTATAATTTTTTCCTAGCAGATTATAATCATATTTTTGTTTCCTGCCTTCTTGGATAGGATAATATTACAACAATAATCTTTACTTTTAGGGATAACAGTAGGCATCATTTTCTTCATTTTTATGGTAATGCCATTAGAATTTCAGCTTTTAATTCATTTACTGGTTATCTACTAAAAGATAGTTTACTACTGGTTTACCGATAGATCAATAATAGGTAGATAACTGTTTTCAATCTTGTCAAGTGTCTTTCTGACATCTGTTGAAAGATTATTTAAAATTTTTATAAAGCCTGATTTGTAAGATATATTATCCCAGTAACTGTTCTAATACTGAACCAGTGTTGCTTTTCCTTGTTTAATAATGCTACCTTATTATTTTAATATAAACAAACTGCTAGATTTAATTATTAGTTGTATTTATTTTTTGAAGTTATTAAGTTCTATTTTTATATATAATAATGTTCTAAATAAACTTTATGAAGATGTTCAGGATTTTTTTTGAAAATTAGTGACTTAGGATATGACGGATTACTGAGGGGAAACAAATAATCACTAAAAGATATTGTAAATGACCCAGAATAAAATTATACTCCCTAAATGATGATAGGGAAGGTAGTAAAATTAGTTTTTTTCCTCATTGCAAAACCCTCCAGTGAGTTTCCTTCTAAGTCCAACTGCAAGATATGCATAGTCCACACTTAGCAACAAATTAAGTCAAAAGGACATAGGACAGAAAATATAGCTTGTTAGCAGGGCAGCATTGGTCATTTGTCCTTAATGTGAGTTGTACTTGGAGTATTCATTTAAAACGTGAGTCACATGCAAGGAAATAATACCTACAGCGGATGAGCACAGGCCTGAAAACTCTAAAGAGTCGATTGCTCTTGTAACAACTCCAAAAGTGTAGCTTTCAGGGTCCCAAGAAGGAATAAGTCGAGATACAAGAATCACTAAACTCATAGAAACTGAAAGACATGGCTTCCTTTCCTGCGTTTTTTGTTCTTCCAGTCCAAATGACATTTACCACTCAGGGGTCATTTTACCACAAGCAATGCTGCCTAGAAACACAGCTAACACCCCACTTTTCTTCATGTTCCCAGGATAATAGAACTATAGATTCACCAAAATGCAAATTCTCATTCAGAATAGGAGTTTACCTAGACATACACAGTTAGCTCTCTGTATCCACAGGCTCTGCAACCACAGATTCCACTGACCGCAGATCAAAAGTATTTCAAAAAGAAAAAGACAATTAAAAAATGCAAATAAAAAATATGGTATAACAACTATTTATATAGCATTCATATTGCGTTAGGCATTATAAACAGTGTAGAGATGATTTAAGTATACTGCAGGATGTGTGTAGGTTATATGCAAAAACTATGCTATTCTATATAAAGGACTTGAGTTTCCCTGGATTTTGGTATACGTGGGGGTCCTGGGACCCGGGTCTCACAGATGCCAAGGGATGATGTATGTTTTATTATTTTTTGCACAATTAAACATATGCCAATGTAATGTTTCTTACCCTATGTTTAAAATTCTAACCTGAAATCCTTTCTTTTCTTGTTCTCCATATTTTCACAGGTAAAATATGGAAATTATGCTTTTGTATGGGATGCAGCTGTATTGGAATATGTGGCTATCAATGATCCAGACTGTTCCTTTTATACCATTGGGAATACCGTTGCTGATCGGGGATACGGAATTGCATTGCAACATGGCAGTCCTTACCGGGATGTTTTTTCACAAAGGTAAGATTTTGGTATGGCCCAAAGAAGGACAGAAAATTTAAACAAAATCTACTTGGTTACCCAATTCAGTTTATTACATTTTGTTTTCTTTGTTAGGATAAGTATAATAAACAATAGAAAAAAATAGTTATAAGGGGTTATTCAGTAAGACGTGCATTTCCTAAAACATGTACTGAAGTATTATGTCTCCCATAAATAGGGAGGAAAATATTGCTGCATGTAACTGGTTTTACTCTCAAAATTTTGATATGGAAAACAAAGTAAGTGCGTTAGTAATTTCTGTTAGAACTAAATTAAACAGTGTAATATGAATTTCTAGAGACTAAATGTCATTCGCCTAGGAAAACTAATTCATTTTTAAGAACACTAAAGCATAAAATAAACTTCAGGACCGAGCTAAAGTTCTAATGTACTACTAAATCACATAGTAACAGGAATGTTTTCATCTGGATTTTGCAAAGGAAAAGGGTAAGAATTTTTGAGTCTTCTACTTGGTATCAAAATATGTATGAGATTTAGTCATGGAAATCAAAGAGACAGCTCAGTAACACATTATACCAGTTCCCAAATAAGAAGTTGCTGTTAGAAGGGCGTGGTTTAAGAAAGAAGGTTTTAAAATGTAATTGTAGATTAGTAGCATATATAAAAGACTTGGGCCCGAAAGGAATTCACAAAGATCACTGCATTTCATTCTATTCTACCTATTATGAAACAAGCTTGGACCTAAGAGAAATTCATATCTTCCAGGTAGAAGTATATTCCTTTTGATACTGATATTATTTTCTAAATATTATTATTCTAGATTTTCTTCTACCTGTTCTCTAAAAGTTAATCACAGACCATGAGGACAGTTCTATATAGGCCCCAAATTTCAAACTATTGGAATTGTATTTCTCCAAATTTTAGGGTAGCAAAAGCCAGGCATTTCATGTATAAAAAAAGAACTAAAAATCAATAATCTACAATTAATGTCACAATTATAAAAATCTAGACCTCTCTTCTAACCTATAAAACAAGAAGGTTAGCTTAATTCTAAGGCCCCATATTAGTCAGTTTTTCTGCTTAGCAAACAACTCCAAAGTATCAGTGACTTAAAATAAGTTATTTCTGATTCATGAAACATGAGAGCTGGCTGTGATTTGGCTATGTTCTGCTACAAGCTGTGGGTCAACTGCAGGCCTGCTGAAAGAATGACAGAAACTATCAGTGATACCTTCTAGCTCTATGCAAATTCTAAGAATAAAACAAAAGCAAAACACAGATGCATATGCTGGGAAGCAAAATATTAAGGTATAAGTAATGATGAATCAATCAAAACACATTTATTGATCAGCAGATTTTAAGGGGAACAAACTTCAAAAGTCAATTATACCATAGAGAATCTACCTGCAAAACACTTGCTATGTAGTTGGAGATACAGGACCCATGCACATAAAACAATGAACAATGCAGACATTTCTATAGATGTATGCCAATATGTATACATATGCATATAATATCAGTATTGCTTATTTATATTGCACTAAATTGTGTAGTTAAGTATTGAAAAAAAAATTGAACAGCATACAGAATAAAGAATTAAGGAAATGAAACATGAGTAAAAGCTCTCCAAGAGAAAGTTAGCCTTTAACTTGACCTTGAAGGATTAGTAGAAGGCTGAAAAAGAAAATAGATAATTCTTGGAGAAATAATATGAAGACCACAGAATTTAAGTAAAAGAGAGCAGAATGTGTTGAGAAACAATAAGGACATTAGCTAATCTGAAAGGAAAGTTAAAGTTTAAAATCCATATTGTAGGCCACAAGCATCTTACAAAAAAGCCCAATGTCTATTTGGGAGCCCAGGAGTAAAATGACAAAAATAGCATTTAAGGGAAGATTAATCTAGTTTTGATGTAAAGGATGAAATAGAATTGGCAAAAACTAGAGCAAACCTGGAGGCATGAGATAATGATGGCCTGGTCTAGAATTGGGTGAGAGGCAATGAGGAGGAAGGAACAAAGAGAAGAGACACTTCCAAGGGAAGATGCACACCATTGCCTGTAATTCCGATGCAAAATCCAATGTGAGGATGCAAAATCATAATAGAATGAAAAGGCATACAGGGTTTCATGGTGGAAGACCAGCAGAAACATATAATGAATCCTTAAGATTACCGAGGTAGTTGAGAAAGAATTATTGATTATTTCTTAGTTAGGGTTAATTAGCTTTTTCATTACTAAAGACGGTCTTTGTTTCCAGACCTGATTTCTGAGTCTTTTACACACACACAAAAAATGCATGAATATAATAGCTATTAAAGAAATGTTTACTAAATCACACCAAGTGTTCCATTTATTATTATCCCTGTGGTGCTTTACCTATTAGAGATTTTAATTCTGAGAAAATGCACTCTAGTGAACTACTGAAAAGTAATATTAAGCATTGAATATTTTTTTCATTTGTATGATGTACATTATAGATGTTGGCAATATAAATTGCCCCTTTCGGTGGAGTTCCTTAATAATGGCACCCTGCATCCTGGTTCCCTGGACATCTGGAGGAAGGGAGAGCCAGGAAAGAAGCATGGTCTGGCAGTCGGCAGGGTGCCAGCTCATCTCTTTATACACATATGCCACATTGATTTATTACCCAAAATCTCTCCTTAAATCCAGAAAATATTTGCACTCATTCCTTTTTGTTATAGCCATTTGGAAAATGAGATCTTCTCTTTTTTGTTAACTGATTTTAAAAATTATAGAGATCATCAAATTTAACCATTGTAGTACACTTGGGGGATTATAAGATACATCAACATCCTGAGCCCTTGATTAAACTAAATCACTGATTGCTATTGTGATTATTTTCAACAAAAATGACAGTATTCTGGGTGATTAATAATTCAACATTAATTATTTTTCAGGTGACTATATGCCTATAACCCAAAGGACCTTATATCAAAGTACTTTAATATGTATTGAGTACTAACATTTAAAGTAAACAATATATAGTGATACAGTAAAAACATTTATTATCTTCCAAATGCTAGATATCTTATATGCTAATGTATTTCATTGACCACTTCAGACCAATCATGTGAGATGTTGCACATTTGTTTATTATAATTTTGCATATTAGTTCATGGCTATTATGCTACAAGTGAATACATTGAGTGAATGGGCCTGCATTTTGGCAAGCACCCTGTTCAGCTTAGGGGATGTAGTGATACACCCATTTGTACAATTGTATGTGAGTGCACGCACACATGAATGACTTTGAAGAACCAAAGTGCTACAGTATATATGACTATAGAACTGGCTAGAAGAATTTTGTGTCCTTGGTCTGCACAAAAACTAGGTAGCTTGGCAGCAGAAAGTAAAGTCTTTATTTTTCTCATCAGATATGTGTATATTAGCGTGGTGGGTGACAGTTTGCAATGAATTTTCTACCTAATGCTATGTGCTCATCAAATGTTTTACGTGATCCTTGTCTTGTAATAGTTTTTTTAGTTAAAAAAAAAGTAGTCAAATATTGTTTCATTAAAGACATTTAAGAGTAGAAGAAGACTGAATTTTTCAGATTGATTTCCTTGTGCTATTAATAAAATTAACTTCAGTGTTGATCTCAGAATCTTAGCTATTCAGAAAGCTAAAAAGATAACCAAAAAAAGAATAGAAAATCTACTGAGCATTTAGTGTGAACTCAGCTCTGTTCTCAAATATTAGTGGGTGCCAAAAATGAAAAATTAATTCATGATTTTAATTTTATATTTCATAAATAAAGGGATCACTTTTTTCTGTTGGCTTCTATTTCCTAAAATTTAGATATGGAACTACTAAGGGACACAAAAACAATTACATGTTTCAAGTTGCATGGAGAATAATATTTCTTGGATTAATAATAGTGACAGAGATGCATAAACAGTTTCTCAACCCAATCACAGAACTTCAGAACTTTTAGAAATGGAATTAATAGTTCTTCCCCTTTTACCAGGGATGAAAGTAGTCCATAGGAATTAATAGCTTGCTCAGAATCACAAAAAAAGCAGTAAAACTGGATAAATGTCAAACTTTCTGATTCCGTCTCTGGTTTTCTGGTCATTATGCATTGTATCTTCCCTTATATTTCTTCTAAAAGCATATAAGAATAATATGAAACTTAGGTAGTACTTCCTGTGTGCTAGAGAGTTCTGACACAGAGCAGCCTATGAGGTGAATACTGCTACTAATCTCCCCTTACAGGTGAGACACTGAGACATAATGAGGTAAAGTCACTTGTCCAAGTTCACAGAGCTATTCAGTATTAGAGCTGAGATTCAAACCCCAGGCAGTTAAGCTCTGAAAATTGAGGCTCTTAACCACTCTGCTGTGCTGCTTTTCACATGAATGACACATGCTTTTAACAGGTTGTGTTTCAATGAACACTTAGTGATATACTCTCTCTCTCTCTCAGTAGAATAATCATAATCCTTGATTTATGATTATTAATTATTATTAATACTGGTCTATGAATGTCTACTTTTATTCATTTATTTAACTAGTTTTAAACTCCTTGGCTATAGTCTTTCTTTTCCCCTTGAAAAGATAGTTTATCTGTTAGATAATAGATAGTAGATAATAGATAAAGTAGATATCTATTAGAATATCTAGTGCCTTGCTTTGTATTTTTACTTGAATTCAAAAAAGAACATTAGATCTTTTGACTTCCCTCTGTCTTAATGCTTCTTACACTTTGCCTGTTGGGTCCTGCCTCATGTTTGTCAGCTTCTTGAGTCCAGGCATATGCCTGTACATCTCTAATGCCTGTCTTCATGTCTAGTGTTAATGGGAAAAAACTCAAGCTCTGTAAAATAATTTCAAGAGCTTCATTCTGAGCCGAGTATGTGTGACCGACAGCCTGGAGCACATGTTTTCAAGAGGTTCTGAGAAAATGTGCCTGTGGTAGCTGAGTTCCAGTTTGGTTTTATACATTCACAGAGACAGGAATTACATATAAGATCATAAGTCAACAGGTGGAGAATGG